TCGAAAATTGCATAAACATACTAAAAAGAGTCTAACTCTGCAACCACGAGGTGTTTTTGAATAAGTTTGGTGTTATAATAAAGGGAACACTTGTGAGATTTGTTCAGATGTGTAAATATCAGTGTATATGTTACTGGTTAAGAGTAAATGAAGATGGCACACAGCTCAAATTGAAAAGTTTCAGGTTTGACTAATAAAAAAGCACTTTTATTATTATTATTACTATTTCTTTGGATGATGCAGCTGCAGGTCTAAATTCTCCCAAATCATAGCACAACATGTGAACAGTCTCTCTGCAAAGTTTGACTTTGATAAAGTGAAGATGAATATAAACTTATCAACATTCATGTTCTTATCACCAAAGAACCGTCATAGATTTTATGGTCTTGAGTGATATTTTAATACGGTTTTTATAGTCAAAGAAACAAACACAAATCCAGCACAAATGGCTAAATATGAGCAGCAGTAAGACATTGTATTCTGTGCAGCTTTGTGATATTATCTATTTTCACATATTAACACCTTTTTTTGGTCATAATTTTTTAATTTGCACCAAATTCACCAACAATGACTGCATGAAATCACCTGGAAATGTCCTACAAACAGAGAGTAGAGGTCATCTTTAAGTTTATACTGAAAGTAAAATGTCCAAAGACATCAGCACATCAGTTTAAATGTCTCATGTTTGATATTTGTTGCTGTAAATAATAACATTTATGGAGATATATGAGGCATATTAAAGGTGAATCATGACATAAATCATACTAATCATCAAAATATTAGAATTAAATGACAAAACTGAAGTCAAATGAACCTGTGTGATTTTCAGTTAAAAGAAAGATGTTATTCAAGTAATCGTTTCACGAATCACAGTATGAATATGACTTTCCCCAAATATTCATCCCTGCAGGTTTTAAGACATCTTCATATTCTTACAGTTCAAATGGACGATAAATATCCACTTCTGATTACGAGTTCACGGTGAAGAAATACGTCGTCGTTAAAATAACGTGAGGGGAAAGTGATTTACAGCGTTTCTCTGTTTTCTCTCAGTCTGCACCTTTTTTTAAACTCGTTTGTGATTCATGCAAACAAATCACATTTGTCTTCTGAAATGACACAAACACAGAAACCACAGAAGCGTCGTGATAATCGTTTGTTTGTAGTATTTAGTTAAAGTATTCAGGGAAACATAGTAATGGAAAACTTCTAAACATCTGTTAAATTAACAGTTTAGAACCTGTATTAAATCAGAGTGAACGGTTTGTTGGTCGCAGAATGTTCATGGGAACCTGCTTTTAAAGTGAGAACGTCCTCTGCCTTTACACAATAAAAGCTTTCCTCCACGTAGACACTAACATTTCATCAATCATGGCTGAAATAATCATTATTGCTGCTCTGTACATGATTAATCTTCATGTTTACAACTGCTTTACTACAGCGGCATGAACCCCAAATAAAAAGATTCTGCTGTAAATTTAATTGCAATAATCATATAAAAAAGATGCTGAAATGAGACATGATGATGCTGATTCATAAAAAGTCTGAATTCATGCTTCGTCAGATCCGTCCGCTAAAAGACAAGCGACTTTTAAAGCGCTTGTTTTCTGAACGGAGTTTGGACCAATCGGTGCTCGGCTATGCTAACACAGATCTGTGCTTTATATACATTCATATACATAGAGTGTCTGTACAAAGATGAGGTAGAGCTCTGGGTGAACACACCTCCTCCATTCGTCGTCACATGAGGATCAGCTGAGCTGCAGGACTCGAGCATGCGGCGGACTTCTGGAAGTGTCGGACCAACATGGCGGCAGCGAGGACCGCAGAGCTGAAGATGAAAGACGCCCCGCTGAGAGAGAAGGTCGCCGCGTAGTCGCCCGTCCTGTCCACCAACCAGCCTGGAGACGCAGACACAGGAGATACGAGGTCAAACCCTCAGCGGAAATTTAGTTCATGTGCAAAACTGTGAACTAATATTTTTGTAATGACGGAAAGAAACGAGTGTCAAGAACAAGAAGACGTGTTAAAGGATGAAGTTATAATAGTAATGTTTTTATCCTTTTTCAAGAGAAAGATGGACGGAAGAGTGTTTGGGGCGAGACATGAGCTCAACAAATTCAATTTTTATTTTGCATTTTGAAAATAAAGGCAAAATTTCAGTACAAGCGCTGACGCTAGTAGCTCCATTCAATCACGACATCTGGACTTTATTCAAGTTATCTCGACTATATTCACGACATCTAGACTTTATTCAAG